GGTCTTACGTATGATCATGAAATCAACATTAAGCACACCTTGAAGACAATAGGAACGTTTACCTTGTAAACGGTGCTCCCGTCTAATATCTATTGCAGCACAAATTTGGGAAACACCGGTCCATTTCGAAGCCTTGCCCCTGTGGCCACGCCCACCCGGGTATCTAAGTGCACGCACCCGAGGGAGACAAGAAAGCACAAGCCCTCGTTCGGTTACACTTTTGAGGAATTCCAAAAGCATTCTTACGGGCGAGTAACTGCAAGCAGCGAAGCTATGATTTTAGTTCGGCGGTCGAGAGTTTTTGGCTTATTCCTGAGAAAAATGCAAAACACGGTGATACACGGAAATCGATACTACGACCTCTTATTTATGAAACTCGCTCACTACTGGTTGCTATTGCTGCCTTAAATTACCTTCTTCTCATACATGCAAGGACGCTTTCCCTTCATGCGGTAATATGTAAAACAAGAACGAAAGGGGCACCTTCCACAACTTCGTTGAGGGAATCGTACGCAAATTTGAAACAAGATTCGAGTTCACCGTCGTTCAAAACGCGTACTATGGTGTAGGCCACATTGCAAATGATCGGTCTGAACTGTTGGCCTTCCAAGGGTGAGAGCAAGAGTCGGCCCTGGTGGCGTATTGGATAAATAACACACTCGCCCGGTAACCGTGAGTTGCAGCCTCGAGTCTTGCCTGGGGTCAAGTTTTTTGCCCATACCTCACTATCTTGTGATATCCTCCGAAGAACGAATTACGACGGTCAAAAAGCTGTTGTTATAATAAAACAAGAACAGCTATCCCTATCGTCTAGCTTCATTCCCACGTATTCCCGGAAAGCAGAGGGGCCTGTTTCGACAGCTGCTGACCTGTTCATATCGCACATGAGAAGGGCAACGCTTGCATAGCGTAGTGTCTCAGTTTCTAATGAAGTCTAAGGTGCCAAAAACTACCTTCTTCTTCTTTCAGAATCGACTGAGGTACATTGTTTTCGGATGATGACGATGCATCTCCATCACAACTGCCACGAGCACCGTGTTCTTCCCGCAAAACCTGTAGTATGGAGGTTCATTGCACTGGACGGAGAAAACGGCTTCACAACAATTTTCACAGGCCAGTGAGTAAGTCCGTATTACAATTAACTGAATAAATTGTAAACACTGCTAGCATATTAACAAACCTCATCCGCGCCTGATTCTCTTTGTTCTTCGATAGTGGCTCCTACACAGAATCGCACGGTTCTCGAAATGCGCGCTGACTGCACGTCACAGTTTTGCTGAAGTACGGAAAAAAGTAAATAGGCGTACACATCCCACTCAGAATTATTGCACTATTTAAGGCCCCAGCACCACTATTGGCCCTTCCGCTCCCCACTCATGCCCAAAGATAAAGGTTCGAATACAACGCGGAGCGTGCCTTATAAATTGGCACAAATCGGCAATAAAACTCGTTAGATCTGAACAGACTCACGAATGTCTCTACTCCCCCTATCAGCACATTTGAAGGAGTTACGTTTGGCGAGGGGAAGGATTATCAGCATGAAGACAAAAATGTATGAAAAATAATAAAAATGAGTCCTTCACTCTCACATCAGAGATCGACGATAGCGATGACGGTGCAGTCTTCTTTGGAGTCGTCCCAGTATTCAAGGCACGACTCAATAAAGTTTCTAACCTAAAAAAACTGAGCAATATTTTTGCATTAGACAGATTCATGAGGCTTATCCGGCCAACACCTTCATCTTGTCAGTGAAGCTAACGTTCGATTCGAATATATTGATCCCAAGAGGAAGTAGACTTGGACGCGGTGCAAGCGATCTAGCCTGCAAGGGATATAAAATGATGGCACCGCTTCCAGAACATTGCTGGCATAACTGAACGGTTTGGAAAGTTAGTGAATAGACCCGAATACAAGCTCACCCCAGCAATATAACTGGCGCGACCAGTTTCGGTCCTTATGCCACCATTGCGGATTGCTTCGAGAGACGAAGCCATAGGCTTGAGCCGTGCTTTCAGGAACTGCAATAAAAATGATATCTGTGGTTGTGCGCCGATGTATTTGCTGAACAAACCTGTGCGATCTCTCCGTGGGCTTCTTCGTTCTTGTCTTTTCGTTGATCCGACAACTGTTTCTGCCGCGCGAAGGAGAAGAATCTCTCGGCAATTTCGAGGACTTCAAAGTCTTGCTTAAACTAACAGATATGAAGGTAGCTTCTATACAGTATTGTATAAATGCTTTGTCAACAGAAAGGGAAAAGAGCAAACCGTTCAAAAAACCTCAATTTTGAAGACATTACACCGTACTATGGAATAGAAGAGGCGGAAGTCGTAAAAAGTTAATGATACGCTACAAAGGGACGGAGGGGGAGGGCCAGGAGTAAATCTACGGAACCGCGCTTCTACACAGTGGGACGTTAAATTGATACAGATATGTCTATGAGAATACAGAAAAGTGTATGTAGTTAGCTTGCCCTAGAAAGTCATTGTGCAGGCCACAACGCATTAAGAAGCCACTACACCTACGAATGGAAGTGGAGTGCGTGCCATATTCCGGAAATGGACTGACGGTTTTATCACCTTTACGGCAAAAGAAAATCATCAGTTAAAGGTCAAAAGTAGAAGGAAAGAAATGCAAAACCACAACTAACCTTTGCTGTTCGTCTGCCTTTTTTACATCATCGTTAAACATCGAAGCGCTGATACCAAGTGAGAGTCCCCTGTCCTGCTTTTGTACTCGTTGTCTTTAGACAACTTATACTGAAAAAAAGGATGCTTCAATCACCAGTAAATCTGCAAATGGTTGACACCTCATATGGCAAGCTATTTCTTTGCTCTGGAGCTTATCGTTTGTGCTTCCACAACGTTTCCACACGCTTACTATACTGATAGTGATACTCCCTGGAAACCAACATACTTCTGTAAGGGCTTGTATTCTCCGAATCGATGGGGATACTTTAGTTTTTCGGACTCTCCGACTCCCCCAGTTTCGTCTTTCTCCGAATCCCCAGTATCGCAAAGTATGAACACCGTTAGCGGTCACCACACTGTCCCATAGCGCAAACGGTTAATCCTACTATGAATCTAGTGAATAGAGTGAGTGGGGTCAATTTCAACCAGAAGCCTGACTCCACCTCAGTGGTTATGAAAACAGAGACAATGTACCGTAAGATACCTGTACGCTTCACGTGCAGCCTTCATCCGTGCAATTCTATCATTCTCCTTTATGCTAATTTTCGCTTTCATTATTGGAATGGCTCTTCGTTTAGGAACTGCCGCCTCCGCCCTTAAAGAATAGCAATAATGATGCATGCCTCACCAATTCTCATTGCAACGCACCTGATTTCCTTTCTTGATAAAGCTTTGGTCATGGTTTCACCCAACTACGACCAGTCCGATAGTTCGATTTTTCTTTCTGATGAGAACAGGCGAAAAACTCGTTGATGTACCAGAAGTTGAGAAGAAGTGTTCAATGTCAAACAAGCAATTAAGGTCCAGAAAGGGAGGAATAATTCATAGGTAGAATCAGAAATTCAAATTTTTTTCCTTGTTGTCGGCGCACAAATTGTCAACGGAGCGCGTCAAGCGTTAGAAGATGGGCGGCTCTGCGTAAGGCCGCGTTCATATGTAGCTTGCGTTCGTGAAGAAATGCAGAAATGCGGAAAATGCAGAAGTGCGGAATCTGCAGAAATGCCGAGTGCGGGAAAATCGCTAGGTATCGGTTGCTTTGCTTTTCTGAGGCGGAGGTGGTGTAGTGACAAGTGGCGCGCTTACCACTCGCGCGGTCCTGGGTTCGAATCCCAGGTCGACACCCAGGCCAACCAAGCCTTCTACCCTCCGGGGACGGTAAATTGGTACCAGATTCGTCTGGGAGGATAAAACACTGACTACATCGGCTGGCCACCGCAAGTCATTGTATAGGCCACATCGCATTCAATAAGCCACTACGATTCTGAATGGAAGTAGAATGCGTGCCGCATCCCACAAAGGGATTGATCAACGGCGAAGACTTTATCCTTTATCCTTATCCTTATCTTGCTTTTCTACACATTCCGCACTTTGGGCAT